CCACACGAAGGTACCACACGAAGGTACCACACGAAGGTACCACACGAAGGTACCACACGGAGGTACCACACGGAGGTACCACACGAAGGTACCACACGAAGGTACCCACGACGTAGCAGCCCAGTTGGAAGCCTCCATAGAGCATTCTAGAGGCATTCTCACGCGTAAGTGTTCGCCACGTAAGTGTGTTCTCACAGTGGGAATAATTGCCGCTGCAGGTTTAGAGATGGTCAGTGCGTTTACGAACAACCGACCGAACATGCTACAGATCGACATGGAAGATTGGAAGGGCAACAAGCGGTTCGCCATCTACCACGTCTTCGTGGTGGCGCCAGAGTCGGACAGCTATCGTCTGCTAGTGGAAGACTACGAAGGCGACGCGGGTACGTCACAACTCGCTACAACTCGGCACACCTCGGAACACACCTCGGCACAACTCGGCACAATTCGGCACATTTCTGCCGATTCAGTATAGCTATGCGTCCAGGGCCGTAGTCCTACGAATACGAAGTTAGGGCAAGTTGGGGTAGCTGCTGCCCTCACTAGTGGTTTTGACGCACGGTTAAATATATGCGCCTAAGAAATGTAACAAACTATAAAAGAAACGTGTGTATATAATCATCCGTTAAACCCCTTATCTCACATGCACTCCCACCGTGAACACGTGTCGAATCCTGAGAACAATATGTATATATGAGTGCGTGCGTGCGTGCGTGCGTGCGTGCGTGCGTGCGTGCGGGCGGGCGTTTGTGTCTATCTATCTATCTAATTCTATGGCTACTCTATGGCAATGGCAATGGTGGCTACTCTATGGCAATGGTTATCTATCTATTTCTATGGCTCCCCCTGTCGGCATTTCTTTGGTATTAACAACCTGCACCCCACGCGCGTTGCGACACAATAACGGACACGCGAGCGATTATGGATTATTTACGCGTTTGTTTCACGTAATTGATTTGCTTCCGACGATATATCGAATCATGGTTGCTGAGCAGTTTTGCAAACAGCGTCGGAACGAGCGCGATAAGCGAGGGAGCGCTCGCTCGCAGACGTAAAGATCCTTACGATTCGGTCGTGTATCCAAAGCAAAAAAAAACGCCGGGAAAAAAACACGCGAGTGAAATAAAGAGGAGAACGTCGCGGGGATGTGGTTTTCATGCATAATTTAAAGGGCTTTTCGGTCCATCTATCATGCACTAGAGGTCGCTCTCGGTGGTGGGCTTCTATTGAGTTGTTTTTGTTTTCAACCCGTTTCAACCCCTCTCCTTAATTGCCCCTTATACTTGTTGCTTCTATGCAAGCCCTTTATTCGTGCCCATCTCTGCCATTTCTGTGCCCCTTTCAAGTCCTCTCTTCACCACTTCTAATTCCGTTCTTTGCCTCTTCCTGGTTATTTCCTTGTTCCGTCTAATCCATACTTTTCCCTTCAAAGTCATTGGTTCGCCTCTTCAAAGTCCTTTCTTTGTTTCTGCCAATTCCTTTCATTTCCCCTCCCACGCAAGCCATTTCTGTACTTCCTGCTAACCCTTTTCCATCCATCTTCTACGGCCCTCTCTTTTACTTCATTCTTAAAGATACACTCAAGCTTTCATGCGAAATTTTATTGATTTTTCATTTTCATTCTCATTCGATGGCTAACACTAGATACCACCTCTGTACATGCTTATTTCTCTACATAACGATGAATGTGCCTCTTTTTCTTCTCATTTATCGCCTAAATTCCCTGTCATCTTCTCTACGCCTCGTTTTATCCCTCGTATCGCGCGGTGCAGGCGATAGCTGGATTTACTTTACTCTCTTTTAAACCCTCCATTTCCCCCCTCTTCGAAAACCATTTTCTTCCCTCTACTACGACCCGTTCCATTCTAAGCTTCTTTCTCTCTCTCTCGTCCCGCGCGGCCGAGGCGACAGCTTGATTCACCCGCCCGTCGATGGCTAACATTATAGGTGCCACGTTTTCCTCCCTCCTCTTCGTACATGCTTATTTCTCCATATAACGATGCACGTCTGTTTTGTTTCTGCTATCGCCTAAATTCTCTGTTATCGCCTAAATTCTCTGTTATCGCACTGTTATCGCCTAAATTCTCTGTTATCGCCTAAATTCTCTGTTATCGCTTAAATTCTCTGTTATCGCCTAAATTCTCTGTTATCGCCTAAATTCTTTGTTATCGCTTAAATTTTCTGTTATCGCCTAAATTCTCTGTTATTTCTCTATATAACGAAGCACGTGCCTCTTTCTTTTCTGTCGTCCCGCACGCCGCAGGTGACAGCTGGATTCACCCGCCCGCCGAGCGATTCGCGGCGAACGAGTACCCGCACGCCGGCATGCCGTTCGTCGCCGTGGACGGCGGGGGCGGCGAGGAGTGGGACGGCATCGGCTGCTCGTACCAGACGACGCGCAACGGCGGCGGCTGGTGGTACAACTCGTGCATGCTGCGGCGCCAGCGCTCCAACCTCAACGGCGCCTACCGCAACTACGACTACCGGCGCTACCAGGGCGTGCTCTGGTACACGTTCGCGAACACGACCTTCTCGTCGCTGCGGCGCGTGCAGATGAAGATGCGACCCGCCGAGACGCGACTCGCCGACGAACCCGCGGCGACGACGACCGCCGGCGGGTTGATGAACGAAACCGAGTCGTCGACGACGGGCGGGTCGCCGAGCGAGACTGACGGTGGCACGACGGAGAGCATCACCGATTCACCGATGGTGCAAGTGACGAAGCCTGCGCAGCAGCTTGCAGTCCCGTAGAGTGGCGGTGGCGAAGCGTCCACTTGCGAGATAGTGGGGTACGTGGACGTGGGGTACAGGCCGTCGTAAATTATCATGTCTCGTCAATTATATATTGATTTGGACTTGGAACTGCGCCTATAACCAGTGTCTATCGATGGTCTATAATTCACGTAACTTTTATGGTGTTTGGAAAATGGTCGCTGCAATAAAATTAGCTGCAATAAAAAATCGCTGCAATAAAATTAACACGAGATTGCTAGTTGAAGTGATTTTTTACCTCGATACTACCACAATATAATTATCTTTAGTATATCAATCACTACCGATCGCAGCTAAATAATGTCCGATCGTAATTTATCTGCTTGTAGTTACCATGGTTTCGCAATAATTATAGTAAGCATGAATCCGAGAGGGTTGTGGTGTTTTATGACATTGTATTGATTTGATTGCAACCATAGATCTGGCACTACACTGGATCATCGAATAACAAATAAACAAATGAAACGATACAGTAAAATAGCAACAACATGATAATATTATAATAGTTTTTTTTTACTCTGAGAATCTTTTAGTTACAGCTGCATTTCGACGAACAACTTTATTCGCATAAGCTTTTCTATCAGGGTACCAAAACAATTGTTGATTGGCCTACTTAATCTTAAGCTTATCAGGTGGGTGGGAGGCTGCAATAACATGACACAGCAAACATATATTGCTAATGAAGAACAGCACTCCCGCCATCCAGACGTACAAAAACGCGTTGCGGCCTTCGAATTCGACGTAGAATGCGGCCGCGAGCCAAAGAGCCTGCGCGAGAAACCAGAACGACCACACGAGCACGTTAGCCATCCAGCCGCACTTCATTCGCGAGACTATCAGCGGCAGAAAGCAGAGGTACCAGAGAAAGTACTGCGACGTGCACACCTTGTTGAACGCGACGAAGGTAAAGGTGTGCAGAAACCAGCACAGCTCCAAGCTGTCGAAATGCCGCAGCGACAGGGCGATCAGGAGAACAGCCTGCGGCAAAAACACGAGAACGCCGATCCACAGCGACCAATCGGACTCGGCCAGGAGGTACAGCATGTAGAAGTACACGGACATGTTGTGTCTTATGTCACGTCTCGTGACGTGATACAGGTACGTGTGTTCGAGGAAGTCATGCCCGTACAGAGCGTAGTTGACGCACGTGAGCGCCGCCAGGGTCGCCACGGATACGGCCGCAAAGACTAACGTTCTCCGGCTGGGCAGCAGGACGTGACGTAGATAGCCGAGCAAACCGCGCCCCTCGCGCTTTCTCTCGGACGCGTTCAGGTGGAGGTAAATCGGCAGCGCGTACGTGATCGGATATATCTTGACGTGCACGGCAATTGCGTAGAGTATCGCGGCGCGCGAGAATCGGCGCGTTTCGATCGAATGCAGCACGGCGAGGACCAGCGCGCACATGACCGCCTCCGCATTACCCCTGCTGGCTATGACCGCCGGGAGCGGGTTGAACAGCCACAGTGACGCGAGGAATAGCGGATGAAACGTCTTGCTGTTGCAGTAGGCTTCCCCCTCGTTGTCATAGTTGCAGATGGGATGCCTGCACGCCACATTCACTGCCGTTGACGTCCCCTGGCGGCTCTCGTTCTCTCGTAACAGCAAGATTCTGTACATAAGCCATCCCGTGAGAACGTCGCAGACGATGAAGAGGAGCTTGCCGAAGGCGGGATGTAGGAAAACGTTTGGTGTCAAGACGGCGGCGAGTAGAGGCGTGTAGCGGTACGTGGGGCGATCGTAAGGTGATGCACCGTTGGCCACGTACCGTGCCGCGTCGGAAAACACGAAATAGTCTATGTCCGTGTACTTTACGATCTGCGTTCGGTCTTGCCAATCGCCGTAGATCACTAGCGCAAGTCTTCCGACGAACGACGCGGCGAAGATCGCGTAAAATCCAGCTGCTTCTCTATTTACAACCATGTTTACAATTTACGCGAACTTACATTCATGGCGCTACGTACGTTTTCAATCGGTTCAGTTCTTACCCAATCAAAAACCTTTAAGCCTGCCTCACGTTCGACCGTCGCGCCATCTTACATGTCAATAGTAAAGTAATCTGCATTAAAACTTTTAAACAGTACGATCATTATGTATGGTGAATGAAACAGACTTACTAAATATGACTATCAATCCAGATAATGAGAAAAAACGCATAAAAAATATATAATTTTATTTCAATATTTCCTAATATCAAAAAGCCATTCAGCTATTTCAGATTCCATTTCAATAACATATATATGCCACAAAATGAAGAAAAAAGCAAGAAAATAGAGCGAACGTGTGCCTAACAACTCTCAGGGGCTTGGAAGATAACAGGGGCTCGCGATCTAACCTATGGATAGGCACGCGGACAATGGCATGCCACTACGCATATATGATACCAACTAGGCGATGACCGCAAGATAGTGCAAAGCTAGAACCGCAAAACCTGGATTAATATTACCAGGAGTGTTATAATATATACACTATTTGACTATTATATAGACCAGGCTTTCATTTTTAAGGGGCGCGATCGCGCTCGCGCTCCACCGCGCACCCGAAATTGTGCCATGGTGCGCGCATCATCGCGCATCATAAAAGTGGTTGAAATCGCGCACCAAAAGTATGTCTATTATGTTGAAATAGCGCTCCATAGAGTTCTCAATGTAGGGGGGTACAGAAAGGTTAGCAACACACAACAATTTGTGGTGTGTAAGTAACTAAACGTATGGCAGAGGTACAGGTCTGGTTACTACCCTCTGGTTTATATATATATATATAAATACAACTAAACAACAGCATCCAAATACAGGTACCTATACGGTAGCCGCAAGTTACCTGCTCGTTTTCTACTATACGTGGCGAGAAGTGGTTTTCTGCCGACG